TCACTAAAAGATATCCTACTAAGTACTAAATTAAGAAAGAAATACAATATTTACAGCTGAGATTTTTGTTAAGTGTACGAAGACTTTTGTGGCGTAATTTCTTTGTAGCTTTTTGATAATGAATTTTTTAAAAAAATAGTTATACTATTTTTAAAAAATTAATTATGTCATTCCATTAAGAACAAGTTGCAGACATCATAAAAAAATTACAATTACAATATATTAGTTTTTATTAGTCGTAAACACATTAAATTTTATAAGAAATTGCAAGTGTACGAACACTTTTGTGACTCACTGTATATAGGGAGGGAGTGAACTAATAGCAGGAATTGAAAAAAAACTTTTCTTGTAATCAGCAAATTTCAACGGGAAAGGATGCTATTAGAATTATTAGACTTTGCAGGTGTAGGTGAGTCATGAGTGTAATCTATTGTGTGATTTTTGAATAGAATAGGAAATTCCTTTCTTATATCAACCTACTCCACACAACTCAGGGGATATTTTAAGATTTTAACAATTACGTTACATTTGATGACGGACTGTCTGTCTGTCTGCAATTGAAGTTCAGGAATTTGTTGATTTGTCGGAGCCAATAAATAGCGATTCTGATGCAGAAATCGATATTGAAACTATTATCAAAACTGTTACGTTTTTTAACGCTTTACATTGTTCGTGAACTGTGGAAACATACCTCATGAAGCAGGATGTAAATAAAGCAGTATTTTTTCTTCTCTACATAAAGTCGAAAAAGAACTATTTCGAGAAAGGAATCAAAGAGATTATCAAACATTTATTAGTCAGTATTTTAAAATTTCTAATTTACTGATGCGTATAATAAATAATTCACTAATAGTATTTTTAGATATTGAATAATAATGGGCAATTTCAAACTATGGATATTTTTTGTGTAGTTACTTATTATAGAATTTCCAAAAGATAAGAGCAAAAAATTTGTATTTTGTTTAGACTTCAATATAACGAATAACCCTGAATCAACGAACAAAATCTTCAGTCCCGATGAATTCCTTAAATAGGGGGTCTGAGTGTATTTTACGCAAATAAATACGCTGTATAGGTTTCAGTTTGATTATTTACAGGGAAGTAAGTGCTTCCCCTCCCACGCCATAAATAATAATTGAATCAATTGAAACAATGTACCACGTTTTGAGAATATTGTGGGTATGATACGATTTAAATTTGGCGACTCTATTGAAATGAGTTGATAATTTAAAAATTCTTTTTTTTAATGTAAATTATATGAGGTTTTATTATTATTAAATTATTTCATATTCCGTAAAATCCGGTGTATAACGCGCACTTTTAACACAAAAAATAAGATCGAAGTTTACGGTGTATAACGCCCACTTTTTACACAAAAAATAAGATCGAAATTTATGGGTGCGCTTTATTCGCCGGGTATAAAAATGATAGGTTCAAAAATAAAAGAAAAGAGATATGCATAAAAAAAATACAAAGATCGGAATACTGTTTATTTAAAGAAAATGTCATACCTTATGAGCTTAAAGGGTTGTTTTCCTAGAAATAATCTATTTTTTCAAAATCTTGGGGTTATACCTTGAACAAATAGCTTTAAAACATATTAGCACTGCTAACATACATTGCAGGTTACTTCGTAAAAAAAGGGGGTGCGCGTTATACAGCGAATATATTTTAAAATTAAAAAATGCAGCGTAATAGTATAGGTGCGCGTTATACGCCAGATTTTACGGTATATATATACATATGTATATAAGATAAAAAGGCTTTATGTAAATGAAACAGGTGCTTTTTAATAACTTTTTCGTAAGTTGATGCAATAAAATAAAACGTAAGAAAACCAGGTGCAATAAAATATTAAAAACACATAAAAATAAATATATAATTTTTATTTTAGAAATTGCATTAAAATAATATTGTGAAAAATGTATAAAAATAAATGTCATGTTTCTCTAGAATAGAGGTTCCCAAACTTTTTGTCTGATAAGCCCCTTGCCCTATTTTTAGGTATTAGGTAGACACCTGCTTACTTAATATTGAATTTTTTTATAAATTTATCAATTAAAATGTCTTTTGACAACTGGTTTAAAAGATTTAAATTTCTAACTGTAGTGTAATGCTTAAAACTTAAGAACACATCAAATTAAATTCAAAATTTATTTAATACATAAAATAACTAATCAACTAACGAATGTTTGTTATAGGAGGGATGAATCTGGTGCTTCAATAACAAATTTTTAACATTTGACATCAATCTTTTTTGTTGTTGTTGTTGCTGCTGTTTAACAACAAATTCTCCTCGTTTAGTAGTGTCTAGTCTTTTTCTTCTTCTTTTTTTTATTTTTGAGATTGGCAACCCCACGCTGAATCTCCTACTCACTAGGAAAATCAATTAAAAACTTTCTCACAATGCTCCATAATTCGGGTTAAATAACAGGTATATGTGTGTCTTTTTAAAGTAATATTACTGTGACATCCTTTTCTAAACTTTAGTTTAAGATCTTCGTAAGTGCCTAATCTGATCCAGTTTATCTTGTAATATGACATTTGGTATGTTTTTCAGTGTGACCATATGAATTCATTGTCTTTACTGTGGTATTACCATAGTCAAAGCATTCTCAAACCTAGTTTCAAAATCTGATTAAAGGGCATTTAAATGTTGAACGTAGGTTAAAATGTCATTTTCCTGGCAATTTGTCTGTGGTCAGTTGAGAAACTGGGAAAATTCACGCAGTCCAAGTTTTTCTACTTTATCTTAATTCTGGCAAGAAACGTCGAAATTATGGTCCTTGTTTTAATAAAATTTATACTGTCGCCTTGTAACTGCAAATTAACCTCATTAAACTTAGTAAATAAATCTGTTAAATAGGTAACACCTGGTTTCTATTTGAATAAATTTTCTTTTAAAATAAAAGTCACGATCTGGTTTAATGAGAGTGTAGCGGTATCTTCATTAGCCAGTA